ATTACAGTTGTATACCGTTGTTGTTGATTATACGAATATAATTTTATATTTAGTGTTAAACAACTGGGCAGTTAGTGGGAAAAGCGTCAAAAAACATTGATAACAGGTTTAGTGACAAACTATGAAAGAAATTGTCTGAAGAGTACAAAAAAAAATTTTTTTTTTTTGTTTAGGTGTATAGTTTCATTTAAATGTTTGGTGGTTGTTTCTAGGAAATTTCCTTCAACAAAAAAAAAAAAAAAAAGGAAAAAAAGGGTCTGGATGTTTCTGGGTACTTTGTATAACAGAAGAAAAAAATTGTATAATTTGTGTATTTGCAGCAGCTACAAACCGTGTTGTGGGTTTTTGCAGTTGGCTGCCGCTGTGGTTGCATATCGATGAGTTTGCTCAATGAGGAGCTGCCTGCATTATTCTTTTTAGTTTACTGCTCAACTATCAATTTGCATCTCTTTTACCATTGCAACTGACTGTTAAATACCTTAAATAACTGTTAATACTAAAATTGTACATATTTATTAGAGTAGTTTTTATTTATAGAAAAAATGTTAAAAGCTTTGGAGACCACTAAACAAGGATAAAATTACCTCGAATCAGTGCTGTTTTACCTGTACCTTTTTGGTTTCCTGTTAACATCGTTATTGTCGCTGCCGTTGTTCAATTAAAATTTTTTACAGTATGAATCATAAATGACAAAAAAAAAAGTCTTTGCTTCTTATTTTTTTTTAAAATCTATTTTGACTAATTTTGTCTAAGTTCAACTAAACGTTTTATTGTATGCCTAAAATATATAGTTGCTTTTTTTTTTTTAAAGTTTCATTATGCTGTAAAATTTGCGCACGTTTATTTGAATGCTATTTTGGTTAACGATAAAAATCACTTTTAATGTGTTAAAACTGAATGGAATTTCATTTCCGCTAAAAAAATTCTAACTGAAGAAAAGTGGGGAGGGGAAAAAAAACGAAGCCAAAAGCTGAACTTTACTAATGTACAAATGTGTAAAGCTTTTCCATTTCTTAAGATTTATTAAAAATAAGAATTGCTTCGTCTTTTTCCATTTTCATTTTATTGTTGTTATTGTTTCATAAACTTTTGAAAATGTGGTTTGCACTAACATTTTTTTCCTTTTTTTTTTCCTCAAAGCGATCAAATAGCATTGTTTTAATCCTGAACGTTTTGTTCACAAGTTCGGTGTACAGTTAAGGTTCTTAAAGCTTTTTTGAACTTACAGATTGAAAGTGGCAAGAAAAAATTTGTAGATTTTACTCCATCAGATGTAACAAATTTTTGTCAATTTTATTGTTTTTTCTTTTTTTTCTCTTGCTTCTTTTTTTTTGAATAGAAGAATGAAGTTGCGATTACAGCGATCGGTCGTTAGTTACGAGTTCCAGTGTTGCCTTCTGCTAAACATTAGCTTCAATCAAATCTTAGCAGTATTGGTTATACTGAAGGTGTTCAGTAACAGTTTTAGTTGGTCTTGATCATCTGCTTTATCTGAACCATTTGATTCTCTGATTTCGTTGTTATCGATCACTGTCATAACGATCTACAGTGTTTATTGAGATTTTTTAGATCAACTGATTCATTTACCACCGAATCGCTGATTTCAAATATATCACTGTATTGACCATTGAGTTGATCACCATAATACTTCTGTAGCAATTCAATAAGTTAGCCGCCAACTCAGTTACTTATTTAGATTGCCGATTATTTGCTCGACCACTTAGTTAAAGTTTGCAGTTCTTGAAGCTAAGCAGCTCAAATCAACGTAATGATTTTTGATCTACTCAACAGTAGCGGTAAGAAAAATTTGTAAGACAAAAAAGGGAACTTGTTTGTTCCGCCCGTTTTCCACTTCAAAATAAAAAACTGTTGAAAATTATGTTTCTCAAAAACAAATAAAAACTTTGGAAGAATTTTTCCGTGCATAAGAAAAAATTCAAAATTTTTTCTCTTTTGGTGCACTAATGAACGAAGTGCTTTTCTTATTTAATTCTTTTCATTAAAGAGGATTTTCATTAACATTAGATAATGCTGATAATAACGGTAATACTACAAAACTACAGAACATTCGGTCGAGTAGTTTTGGCGTGTTTTCTGTTGTTGAAATCTTTTTTCTTGCGACTGATAGTCGTCAATCTGAAAAAGCTTTGAAGCTATACGGCATGCTTTTTTTTAAAATTTTATTAAGCAATTTAAAACTGGTAGGATACTGGGAAACTACAACGGAAAAAAGAAACCGGTACGAAATTGTTATGCTGTTTTGAATCCACTGATGATTCTGTATGTTAAATTAAGGAAGAAGAAAGAAGGAAGAAAGTTGCTTCAATTTATAATCAACTTAATGAAGTTTTGTTTTTGAAGAATACATACATAATTTTTCTTTTTGTCTTTTTCAGGATAACTGATGTTTCCTACCAGTCATATTTTATATGAAAATGTATTTTTCTTTCTCTTCTTTGAAATTCTTATTTTTTAATCACAAATACGTTTTTTTTCCAATTGTTAACTTATTATATACGGCAGCAATGTTGAAGTGTTAAATGATAGATATGAATTGTTGAAATTGTTCATTTGACGATTAGCACTGAAAGCATAACGCGAAACATATTTGATGGCTATGGATCAGTTAGTTGTTGGAAGTGTTCATCAGTGATGGTGAATGAAAATTGTTTAGTGAACACTGTAAAACTGTTCTTTGATTAATGTGTTACCATTGTCAATGCCGTTTATTCATTAGTCATCGTATATTATGTGAAAATTTTTAAACACAGTGGATGATTTCTATTTTTTTTTCTTTTGGGACTATCTCTATACTATTTATTTATTTATGTACATTAGAAACTATCATTTGTTCTTTGCAGAAACATAACAGAGGGCTAAAATTTATACTGACATATTATTATTGAACGACTATTAGATGTGGAAAATTATAACATCATTTCTGTGCTTTATTATCATATATTTTTATCGACGTAATTTGTTTCGAAAACGGGTACGTTTTTTTTTTTGTTCTCTTTTTTTTTTAAACTAAGAACAAAAAAAAAAGAAAAGTAGTTATAAATATTTTGTGAGACGGCGAATAATACGGTTAATAAGCTGAGGTATCTGCCTTACACAGCATTTAATTTAGGGGACGATTAGTTACATTGAGTAATATTTTGCAGTTATTCTTTATTCTATTAATTACAAAAAATTTAGTGGATAGACTACGAAATATGCTCAGTCAACTTAGTTTATAGTTATCTAATCAGCCAGCGAAATTATGGCGAAAAAAGAGGAAATTAAAGATCACTACTTACAAAAAAAAAAAATATTTCTGTATAAATTTACATAAATTTTTTTTTTTTTTTTTTTTTGCTGAAACAGATGTCTTTTCTTCATTTTTTCATTTTGGTTTTTTTAATTGAGTTTTGGTTTGAAACTTATTTTCGTTTATAAGAATCAAAATTGAACTACAAAAAAATTTTTTTTGTAGCAGTTTTTTGGAACTTCTTAATTTAAATGTACAGTAAAAAACTAGAAAAAATTAATTGAATATTTGCTTCATTTTTTTTTGTTTAAAGTTACAATCTTTGTCTTTTTTAGCGACTTAGCCAACTCTATGCTGCAGTAAAAGCTCGTCAACTTTTACGTGATGCTTCAATTAATGGTGTTAAAGATAAAATTGATCAAATACCAGCAGTAACAAGAGGAATGATTGGAGAATTTAATTTTGAAAAACTTCGAGGTCTTTTTTTTTCTCGGTGCAAATTTGTTTTTTGTTTTATATTTAAACAGCTTTTTATTGACAAATTTCTTCTTTGAATAAATAAATGACCCTCAATGCTCTTGAAAACTTTTTCTTAGATTAAATTAATTTATTTTTTACAGATGCATTACAAGAGGGTGAGATAACCTGTACAATGGTATTGCGAACATATCAAGAAAAGGCAATATTGTCTCATGAGAAAACCAACTGCATAACACGCTTTATTGAAGTTTGGTTTACTTCTGATTCTGAAGAATGGATGTGAAACAATCTCATAAATTCTAAGGTTTTTAAATGTATGATCGAACGGCGGCGATAGTTTGATTGTTTTACCAGTAATGACTGTTCTAATTGATCATAGGAGGCAGACACATGGGCATCGGAACTGGACAAAAAAGCATCGGAATTGGGATACAAAAAACCGCCCTTATTTGGAATTCCATTTAGTATCAAAGAATGTATTAAGGTAAGTGATTTATTTAACAAAAAAAAAAAGTGTTAGTATCGGTAAAATATGCTAGGACATATACACATATACCGATATTATAAGTTTCATTTTGCTGTTTAGGTTGCTGGATATGACCAAACGAAAGGTTACGCTTCTGAAATCGGTAATTGTGCCGAAGAGAATTCATTGCTGGTTGAACAAATCAAATATCTCGGTGAGCTTTGTCTTTCATTTTCAAAAATTATTTTCAACTTCAAAAACCCTCTTCAGGCTCACTTGGTCAATCTGAGGTCTAAAGCGTTCCTTTAATTGGAATTTTTCAAAATGAATTTTTCTGCCAAAGCGGGGTATCTGGTGACAGACAAAAAAATATACGTAGTTATATTATAGCAAAAAAGATTAGCCAATGCATCAAGTAATTCCTTTTTTACCAGATTTAGTCATAAAATCAAAAAGGGTGATCTCTCTAATGATCTCAAGATTAACTTGTTAGATTTCTTGCCTTCCTTTTCACTCTTGAGCTTTTTTGATAAGAAATATGTGATAAATCTTTTTTATAAAAAACTTCTTTGCTTTCAATAGTTCTTAAGAACCTCTCTATGCATAATACAGTTTTACAAAATGTACGAAATTTTTCATTTACACCAGCTGTAGCATCAAGTTAAGACAAAGCCGTATACAGCTAATTTTGAAAGACTTGTAAGTGTACCGCTGAATTGCTTTGTACTTGCCACTAGAAAACAAACTTAAAAGCGTCTAAAGATGAGATTATTGTGATTTCAACGGGAGCATAATAGCAGTTTTAATCTACTTTTAGAGAATGCAACAAAAGCTCTTCGTGATCAGTTTCTGTCGTTACAGCTTAATCAGATGGTATTAAGCAGTTCTATAAAACCACTCTGTTGCGAAGTTTAATTAAGTACATAGCCAGCATGCAGGGTGAATTGTTTTAAAAAAGTACCTCTTTGGCGAGGGTCGAAATGTAAGTGGTACGTAAGGGCATTTTAACGGTAAACCTCTAATTTTGATCAAACCCAGAAAAACGAGGATGCAGAGCTGATAATTTTCAAAATTGTAGTAAAAAAATCTTTTTTATTCAACCTTTTGTTAATAATATTCGAAGAAACCTCACTTTACGGAATGCAGCAAGCGATACATTTTGTATAGTAGATACAATTTTTAATGGTGGAGAAGAACAAGTGCATTTTCGTACTCGGCTGTCTTCCAAATAATACTCGAAAAATAGTTTTTTACACTAGAAATTATGGAAGGTACACTTGTTGCTGTAGCCTCATCAGCGAAGTTTCAAAGAAGCAATCAAACATTAAAAAACAAGTACGTATTTTAGAATGTTGATGAACATACGGTCTTTTTCCCAACTCGAATGCTTGCAAAGTTTTTGCAAATCTCGTGCGCTATGTATTTATAAATGTACAGAGCCGAGATTTAATGTAGCGATGTATCATTGATTACTCAGACATCTGAATGGAGCGATACTAACAACTTAATTTGATCCAGCTTAACACTTTGTTCTTGAGCATTGGTACTAGTGAGTTACCAGTGAATTTGCAACCTAAATCTTTCAAGTTTCTTTAGTCATTTGTTGTTTACACTACTGGTGAGAATTCCTTGAAAACGTAACTTTGAGAAATTAGCGGAAAACAGTGGTAATTGTTATTCTCGAGATGGTGCTTCTTAAATGCAGGATGAGAAGCCCTAAATATAGAGGAGTAGAGACTAACAAATTAGTTTCGTTAAATTGATCAAACTTTAGTTTTAGAAAAAATTGATCTTTTCGTTGCTGTAAACATCTATCGTAGTAGAAGAAAGTTTTTTTGCAGTGAAATGGTAATTACATTAGCCAAATTAACAGATTAAGATAATACCAGGTAAGGCAATGTTGTATGGGCACCAGAAACTATACTCCCAGAGACTATTAACGTCCAGTATCGCTACTGCGTTTGGTAGTAAATGTCATTTTACAAGAAAAAGGAAGAGGAAAAAACTCTTAATCAAAAAAAAAGAAAAAAAAAACAGAAGCAAAGGAGGGCAGTGCAAGTAAGGGAATGACGAACTATTAGAAGAGAAGAAAAACTTGGGATGAATACTGTAGAAGTGGCTTAGGTTCAGAAAGTAATAGAAAATCATTCCTAACCGCAATTTAAGGTCGGATATGCATATGCAATCGTGGAAGACTCTGAAAAACTTGGGCAGTCTGCCTCAAATTTAAATTTTTCAAGCATTCAAACTTAAAAAATTTGAGCTCAAATTCTTCACATCGTACAATGAACTTACACTTCTATTACATCTGTTAACAGCTTTTATCTCGACAATCGCATTTTTATCAAAAAAAAAAAAAAAAAAAAA